ATCGCAGGTTGTTAATGAGTCTTCCTCCAATCCTGATGCCATGTTTTTCTTCATAGAACCCAGCTTCTCAGATTATTTGTTCAGCATACAGGTTGAATAAGTATGGTGAAAGAATACAAGCCTGTCGCACACCTTTCTTAATTTTAAACCATTCAGTGTTCCCATGCTCTGTTCGAACAACTGCCTCTTGGTCAATGTACAGATTTCTCATGAGCACAATTAAGTGTTCTGGAATACTCCTACTTCGCAATGTTGTCCATAGCTTGTCATGGTCCACACAATTGAAAGCCTCTGCGTAGTCAATAAAGCACAAGTATAAATATTTCTGGTATTCTCTGCTTTCAGCCAAGATCCGTCGGACATCAGCAATGATATCCTTCATTCTACATCCTCTTCTGAATGCGGTATTTTAGAATATGCCCCAAATCTAATATTCCTGAAGTCACTAACATCTACAGCATGGAATAATAGGCCAACAGCAAAGGAATATTAGATTTGGGGGCCAGATATTTGCTGTAATATTTAAAAGTGAGAATTCTGTTAAAACAAAAAATAGTTATTAAATTTTCTAAATAGATAGCATACTAAAACTATTGTTGTTAAGTGCTGTTGAGTATGACAGAAGGAAACATCATCCAGTCCCATAAGAGTGAAACCCTAACCAACAGCTATGGATGAGACACAGAGATCGAGACGTAGTCTGAAGAAGGGGAAATAATATTAAGAAGCTTGACGGTCTTATGAATATTGGTTTTCCTTGCCTACTAATATTGTAAAATAGATATTTGAGTGGGACAGAAAGAAATATCGGAAAACATGATTTCAGAAAATTTGTAAGCCCGTGTTCATTCTATAACTCACTGGAATACCTAAAAGGGGTTCTAGAACTTGCCCGGTGAAATAGGCTTCTTGTGGAGCCTTTGCAATGTATAGGACCTTAGGTGGAATCCTGAGCTCCATTCAGAACCTTCTGAGGTGTGACATTCCCACTAGAAAGGACAAGCAAGTTGTTTTCCGGGGAGCTATCAAGGTTACGAATTGGGCTGCGAACCTTAAGGCCAGCAGTTCGAAACTACCAGCCGCTCTGCGGGAGAAAGATGAGGCGTTCTGCTCCTGTAAAGATTTACAGCCTCAGAAACCCTGTACAGGGTTGCTATGGGTCAGAACCGACTCGACGGCACTTAACAACAACAATCAAGATAAGTAATCAAGTCCCTTCAGGACAAACCCCCACTCCAAGACTGAAACCCAAAGGGAACATATGAGCAGGCATGTAAGCTTGCTGGTGACCATGTTGGTCTACTGGTGAGTAGAATAAGGGAAAAGGCAGCAATGAAGAGATGGGCTGAGTTCAACCACGTTCCATAGAAGAGGAAGGGCTGGTTCGTCCGAAGTGTGGTGAGACCTGGGGACTCCTGAGCCCATGGACAAGGACGTAGCCATGGAGGAGTAGAACTGAGAGTGAAACATCTAGCTGATATGAAGTGAAGGGAGATGCACAAGAATGCCCAAACTTGCAGACAGTATCCGTTTGACCTAGCTTTAATGGCTTGATGATCAGAACTCGACTAGAGGAAGATTAAAAAACAAAACAAAACAGTTTTTGATAAAGGAAACAAGTGTGTATTGCTACAATGTTATGAACTTGACCTATACTCATGGATGTAGTCTCTCAAAATACCAACAGAGAGGGAAGGAGTCTTCACTTCAAGTATCAATGCCTATCCTTTCTGTATACAGGGAAGATAGGGGCAGGCAACTTAGACATTGGCTACCTAAAATGAGGTGGCGATAAAGGCACAAAGTGACTGGCTTACAAGTTTTCAAGAGGAGTTTAGTTTAAGGGTGTACGGGGTGAGGTACAGTCTCCACTGAATAGTTTTAATCTTGTCTAGACGGGTCTGGTGAAAAGAGATGGGGATAAGATTCTTATGATTCAATAGTGAGTACACTGTCACAATAAAGGTAGAAGGTTTGAAACAAAAAGGGGAGAGTTGTTAATCTTACATTCCAGGAACAGAGGACCCTAGGATCATCAAGGGAGAAGAGCACAAATGGAATGTGGGATCCTATCCAGAGAAGTAGCCACACCAGAGATGGAGGCAGAGGTGAGGACATGGAGAGAGAGAGCACCTGAGGACTCTAGACTCATGGAAAGAGAGGGACTGGGTGCTGGTGGCCAGAAGGCAGAATTGCAGAATGTGCCCTTTGGTTGTTTAAGTGATTTTATATTCCTGAGTGTTTTTGCATACATTCCCCACCCCTCTCCAACAATCAGAGGAAATTGAAGCAAATACTGTTAATTGATGATGCACAGAGACATTGTAATCATTGCAATGAGACGGTGTAAAACTGTTGTTCTCCCATGTAAACTATCACTCTATTCACAAGAAAAACTTAAAAAACCCCAAAAAGCTATGGAAGAGCAACATTACATGTGGCAGATATAAGGATTTTAGGGGGTTTTCATTTGATTAGAAGGCTAAGATTTGTTCAATACATTATACTGGGGGATATTTCTTTGGTACTAACCTGATCAAATATAGCTCTTTATTCCATGGGTAGATATTTAAGAGTGGCCCAGCCCCAATCATATGGTTGTGACGTTTGCCAACATTCTCAATATATTCATGCTGCAATGGCACTTGGCTGAGGAGTTCAAATTCCTCAGGAGACTTTTGAAGTACCTGTTCTGCTGCATAGAATCCATCTACTAGTAATGTTCTTCCACCTGTTCCTTCATGCTTAAGACAGTGAAACACTTGAACACTAAAGAGAAAAAAGAGTAAATTCTTCTGTTCAGTGGAGAAAGAGAACATTTACAATCTCTAGAAAATTATATTCAAAATAGCTACCAAATCTACTGGTGTCATTTTCTTTTCATGAAGAAATAACTCTCATTTTAAAATTATGCCCCCCCCCACATAGTTACTTGTGTGTGTGTGTGTTTTATATGTGTGTGCTTTGAAATATTAATGCTAGTAGAGGATTCTTCTACACATACTCATATTCAGCATGCATTGAAACCTTGTTATGTTTGAGCACACTGCTGCTGCCATTATGCCAATCCATCTCATTAGGGAGGGCCTTCCTCTTTTTAGCTGACCCTCCACTTTGCCAAGCATGATGTACTTCTCCAGGGACTGGTGCCTCCTGGTAACATGTCCAAAGTATGAAATATATATGCTAGGTCCTGGAAATACAGGCATGAGTAATATACAATTTTAAAGAAGCTAATAGCTCAAACCCACCAGCCACTCCTTGGAAACCCTATACAGGATCGTTATGAGTCAGACTTGACTCAACGGCACTAAACAACAATAACTAATAGCTTACGAGGAAGAAGTGGAGCAAATAAGTATCAATAATCAAGTGATATATAAGATAGCATCACCATGACTGGTTGCCATGGGATCGACTCTGACTTATGTGATTACAAGTGTATCAGAGTAGAACTGTGCTCTATAGAGTTTTCAATGGTGGATGTTTTGGAAGTAGATTTCCAGGATTTTCATCCAGGGTGCTTCTGGGTGCACTCAAACCTCTAACCTTCTGGTTAGCAATTAGGTAGCTGTTTGTACCACTCACGGACTATCATACAAGATACCAAAGCCCACTGCCATCAAGCTTATTCTAAGCTACTTTAAGTCTTTGTGGGAGCACACAGCCTCATTTTTTTGTCATAGGGTGGTTGGTGAGTTTGAACTGCCGATCTTACAGTTAGCAGTCTAGTGCCAACTTCTACACTTATTAGCTATGTGATCTTGGACAAGTTACTTAACCTCTCTGTACCTCAGTTTCCTCGTCTGTAAAATGGATAGAACTTGGCTGTGAGTATTTTTCCTCCATATTCTGCCCAGTTTTCTTCTGCCCCCTTTGCTAGCATATTTTCCTCTCTGCATGTCTTAAATCTTGTTTCTGAGGTTTCTTCTTGCCCTTCTTTGATTATTTGAAATGATCTCTCCAAATGACTTCTTCCATACTCTTAGTTTTAGGTATTTCCTACAGAAAACGGCTAAGTTTATATCCTTAGTTCCATAAAGTAAGTTTATATCCATAGCTTGATCTGTCTTCTGAGTTAAACATCTTTAGTTGGCCACACAATAATCCTGATCTGGAAGCTTCACATAAAGTTCAACATAGCCAGAACTCACCTTTCTCATTTTAATTGCATTTATATTAGTTTAACTTTTTCCCTTTTCCTTATTTATTTTCTATTTCATTTCCCCCTTATTAATTTGAAAGTCCAAGTTTATTTTTCAAGTCCATAATAGTCACCTTCCATATATACATATGACTCAGGTAGTACAACATGCTCTGGAACTGACATTTCCACCTCCGCCCCTCCCACTCCCTCATTCTTATCCAGTCGTACATCTATCTGCCTGCATTCTGTAAATGGTATCATCCATAAAATGGCCCAAATGACAAATCTGGAGTCATCCAAGATTTCTGTCTGTCCTTCATTCTCCATATCTAATCAGTTATCAAACCCTGCCAATTCTACCCCTGTACAGTGCTGTAGATTGCTGGTTCAAACCCAACAGTTACTTCTAAGAAACCCTACACAGGGTCGCTATGAGTCAGAACTGACTTGATGACATTTAACAACATGATTCTAGTCCAACTCTTGTTCACTTTTTAAGACTAAACAATGCTATTTCCCATCCTTCTCTAAAGCATTTCTTCGTATAATCCATCGTTAGAATATTTTTGCTTGGAAAAATGGAACTAAAAGGTAATGGAGTTTTTCTATGAGGTTTTTTTAAGCTTCCTCAAAGATCATTACTTTCTTTTTGAACCCACTATACCTTGTATAAAGGAGCTCTGGTAGCGTAGTGGTTATGAATTGGGCTGCGGGCCGCCAAGATCAGCAGTTCGAAACTACCAGCTGCTATGCGGGAGAAAGATGTACAGCCTCAGAAGCCCTGTACAGGGTCGCTATGAGTCGGAACTGAAGCCACGGCATGAAGCAACAACAACAACAACATACCTTGTATATGGAGCCCTGGTTGCTCTGTAGGAACTGACTCCATGGCACATAACAACAACAATGTGATGACTGGAACTGCAGTTGCCTTGTCAGGGCCAGACCAAATGATTTTGTGGGCCTTACATGGCCCACATTCCAATCATTCCTTTGCTAGGTTATATGGTTGTTGTTAAGTGTCATCAAGTTGGTTCCGACCCATAGCATATAGGGTTTCCAAGGAGCAGCAGGTGAGCTTGAACCACCGACCTTATGGTTCAAATGGCTTTGCAGTCTGACGCATTAACCAGCAGCGCCACCCCAGGACTACTGGTGGTCTCACCTTATTTCTATAACACTGAGTAAGATCTTTAAAAGTTGCATTATTGTTCCTCCCTTGAATTCCAAACTATAAAGAGCATCAATGTAATTGCAATCAACCACATATTATCACCAGGATGAAACAGGATAACTGTTTATTGCATGGAGGGGATAGTAATAATTGAGATGAAACAAAGTATATGATTTGTTGACTGTAAAGCTGACGACCTTATCAGTAAACCCTCACTCAATTCACAATAAAATAAAGAAATCAATGAATGAAATGGCAGCCATCGAGGTGCTTCTAGAAAGCAGCAGATTTTATAAGGTTAAGTGTGGAATGTAGGCTCTGATTCCATGTGAAAAGTGATATTTTAAAATCATTCCTCCTCTCCAATCTATTGCAAATTTTATTCAAATTCCTTTTAATACCATACTCATGGCAGCTGTGCTTGTAAGACTGACCGCTTTAGCAATATAATAATAAAACGTAAGAAAACTGTACAAATTCCAAAACTGACGGCTAACCAAGAGTTTTTTGGTTAAATTATTTATAGTTACTTGGAGACCTAAGAAATCTCAAAATGATGTTTCTAGAAAAAGAAAAAGAACCAGTTATACAAATATTAGCAGCAGACAAATAGGATTTTGTTGCAGATAGAACGGAAAATGATTAAGAAACTGGTAGAGACCATCACATGTCAAGACCCCATTTTGTAAGTCGAATCCACCTACCCACAGGGCTCTTGAAAGTAGGTAGTATCAGTGTGCCGATCCAGAGCTAATTTGGTGTATGCCGTGTCACCCCTGGAGAAGTCGGAAGTGAAACACCACATTCTTCCATAGATGGTTTCTCTGTAAAATTCAGTACAGGAAGAATTACTAGTGATTTAAATTTTAATTCTTGTCTCTCAAAACTCTTCCCACTGCTTTCTTTAATCTGTTTTATGTAGAGCCTCATTCATCTTTTGGACATGGAGGAATAAAGACGTAAAATGTATAGTGTATGTTAGCAAGTATTTATGGAGATGCGCCGTAGTATCGTTCTGCCATTTTCCCATGAGGTAGATATATAGCAATTTTCTTGGTGAGTTCAGATGGTACTAATTTTTGAACTTTCAGAGTTCATCTGGTTGTTGGAACCCTTCAGGTTTAAACAGGAAATGGTATTCTTTTTGAACTGGAATCTCTAAGCCTGCTCAATTTATCGCTACCAGCACAGTTTATTTTACTTGAAACGTTTCAAACTGTCTTTTAAATGGAATGGTTCAGAAATGCTGTTGTATGCTGTGGAATCAGTTCTGACTCGTAGTGACTCTGTATAAGCTTTCTGAGGCTACAGATCGTTACACTTGCAGAGTGGCTGGTGAACTCGAATTGCTGACCTTGTGCTTAGCAGTCCAGGTTGTGATCCATTACGCTATCAAGGCTCCTTATACTTTACTGTTGCTGTTAAAGGCTGTCAAGTCAGTTCCAATCTATAGTGACCCTGTATAGGGTTTCCAAGGAGCAACTGGTGAGCTTGAACTGCTGACCTTGTGGTTCAAACCGACTTTGCAGTCCAGCATATTAGCCAATGACCCAGATAGCAGATAGCACATTACTATCTGATACACAAATTATGTATAGCTTACTCACACTGGAGTGGTACTGCAGGATAAACACTGGACTGCAAGATTGATTTGAATCGTAAGGTTGGCGATTCAAACTCACCAGTTACTCTTTGGAAACCCTATACAGGGTCACTATGAGTTGACAGCACTTTAAACAACAACAACAACAACAATAACAAAGGAGTCCCTGGGTGATGCAATTGGTTAGCACACTCAGCTGCTAATCAAAAGCTTGGAGGTTCAAATCTACCCAGAGGCACCTTGGTGACCTACTTCTGAATAATCATAGAAAATCATTCAAATACATGGGGTCCCATGAGTCACATCAACTCAGCAGTAATTGGTAATTATAACACAGTGGGTTTACAACATGTGTAATGCTACATACAGAAGACAGATCTATTTACCACCTATTAAGGCAACATGAAGAGCACACAAGTTAGGATCAGGTGCCTCATCAAAATCTGGATTTATGAGAATGAGAAGGACCCCCCCAATGAGTATAAATGCGATTGTTAAATATTACTAATACTCGGACTCAAGCTTCAGGAGTCACAGAAGGTAAAAACTGTGCCATCAAGTCAGTTCTGAGCAGTGGCAGGTGGGTTTGAAACACCAAACTTGTGGTTAGCAGTCCATTGATTATTATCCTATAATGCCACACGGGGATCGGGAAAGTAGAGGTCAATGGAGGATTTAGGGCAGTGGTGTGTGTGTGTATATGTGGGTATCTGAGTGGAATAGAATTACCTATGGCCACACAATTGTTTGGTGGCAAGCACAGATTACTATCCACTTCCCTTTATTCGCAGTCCATGTTCTTTCTAGTATATCATACTACCTCTCACTTTGAGAATCACAAGGCTAGAAAAATATACCAATAATTGTAAAGTCTTCATCATCTTTAACATGTAAGTGTCTTTGAAGATTAGAAATCCTGGCCTCAGTAAATAAAGCATTTACTTATTTATTTATTCGGACCACAGAATAGTCTTGATTAAGAACTAGGGTGACCATACTTGTTATATTTTAAAATTGGACTCATGCTCTGGTATCTAATTATTGTAGATTTTAGGAAACTTAAAAGTTACCTGATCAAGCTGATCCTTCCTGCCAACTTCTCTGTGTGCTCTTGAGTAGGAGGGACATTGTCTACAAATGCAATTCCATAGAGCAGAAAGTTTTTCAGAAATTCCTTCAGTCCCTCATTGGTTTCTAAAAAGCTTTGGAAATTGATAGGTGAAATTTGGGCTTGCTGGTAGATTTCTGCATTCCATAAGATTCTAGGCTGGATGATCTTTTGTTTCTGTCCTTCATAGCTGTTTTTCAACAGCCATTCCAAATCATATCTAGTCACGTGACCATCCGGCCCTTTTAAAGGGAAAAATTAAAAGGCATTACAAATATATTTATACATATGATAAAAAAATTACTGGTAAAGAATATTATACTTTTAGCCACTTATGACAAAAATATAAAACGAGTGCCTAGAGTGTTCTCGACACAGAAATATTTGTGAATAAATGAGTTAATGAATGAATTAGTGAAAAAATAAATCTCAGCAGATAAATAAGATTTTGGAACTATGAAAAATTCATAAAGTCATCAAAGAGTGATAATGAAATAATAGCAGTAGTTTCTCAGCTGACTCCCCTCTCCCTTCCCTTGTTCCATTTCTGGTGTCACTGCTTCTCTGGGTAGGGTCCCGACTCCGCTCTTCTCCCTTGATGGTCCCAGGGACCTCTGCTCCTGGACTGCATAGTCAACTACTCCACTCACTTTGCTACAAAATGTCTACCTTTACATTTCCAACCCTCACAGTCAGTCCTGATAACAATTATTCACTATTGTATCACATGAGTCTTATCTCCATCTTCTT